AAATTGGGGCAACACGACCGTTGATCCATGCCATAAAGTTATAGATCTGTGTGATTTCACGGAGGAGGCTAAGTATCGTGATTTGAAGTAAAAATTCCCAAATTCACATGCCTATCGGTGCTAACGCTGCATACTGAACCGCGAGATCAACGTCAGCCAGTCGAATGTGTGTGTTTGTGTGTGTGTGTGTGTGTGTGTTGAGGTTTGTGCGTGGATGGGAGGGTTAGGTGTGGCCTGCCTTACAAGTCATCTTTTTTGTCTACATCAAGAAGTGAAGTATTAGTAGCCGATCAGACCTCATCAGACGGCACACACACAATCCTGAACAGCACAGACAACATCGAAAAACCGCCATTGGAGAACAATAATAGCGGTTGCGTAATCTCATCAACCATGCCTTCCATCTTGAAGATGCTCTGCTCCTGCTATTGGGCTCTGACCTCTATGGCCCGACTCAAGTGACCGGTTGATTAAACAAGTTGCTTTGTCTCGGCCAACCCTTTGAACTGTTTGTTTCCCCTTCACCCCTCCAGTCACTCGTGCAAGCCTCTTCTGATCCTCCAGAATAAACTTGGCAAATCAACCTCATCTTAGACGGACCAGCTCTCTTGTCCCCCATACTGTATCCTTTTTTATCCGTTGCCCAGCCACCTCATCTGACGCGCTTTTCTCCCTTTTTTATGGTATTTTGTCGGTATTTTGAGCTATTTACCAGCCCAACGGCATCTTCTCCTTTTCTCTCTTTCTTTATATACATATATATATTCATGCATCCATCTATCTATCTATCTATTTATCTATCTATCTATCTCCTTCCAGAGCACATTCAAGTCACTTTGACGACATCCTGTCAATCTGCGGTCTTTTCCAAACTGCCTGGTTGTGCCAGTCGACCGGACAGTAGGAGGACCGGGCAATGAGGTGGAGGATGGGGAGGCCGATAATGAGGAGGAACATGTGAGTGAGCGAAAGAGGAGGACAGGAGAGGGGATCGATTACCCCCGTTGGGTGACAGGAAGGGAAGATGCATTCTATTGTCTGCACCTTGTGTCTCGGCTATCATTGCCAAGCGGGTGGTAGTCAGCGCCCCACTCGTCTTCACCCCACGACTGCTCCTCCCGGGGCCCAGATCGCGTCCAGCCATCAAAGTACTTTTTAGGCCGCTTGACTTCAACCTTCCGAAGTGGGCCTATGGACCCCTCGCCTCTTTCCAGTCTACAGGTGATACGAGCCAATGTCATCAAGCATTTTTTGCCAACGAACAGTCGGCTTGGACACTTTTTCATCCAACCTAAACTTCAAAGTGTAAAGACATGATAGTCAATGGCAATTGAGGGGATGTGAATGAATTTGTCTCTCGTCTCAACACTTGAGCATCCAAACCAACCACAAAGAATGATGTCGAAGCCGCGAAACTTGCGGCCTCTTTGGGAACGGTTGTCCTCACGAAGTGAGCCATGGGCAAGCCGACTTCTGACAAGAGTCCTTCATCGCAGGGCCTATTGAAAGCCGGGCTTAAACATGCATCGGAAGAAGTGATGCTGACGCCTGCCAGCTCTTTTGCGGTGCTGAAAGGATCCGGCAGAGGGGCGAAACCAAGGCCTCTGATCAGTGTCCGACCCGCATTTCCGCAAAAGATCCACGCCGTTGACAATGACTGACACTTATTATTCACTGGTGGCATGGTTGTTATTCTCTTGACATCCAGAAGAATTGATGCAAAACCTTGAATCGTTTAGTGAATGCTAACTCTACCGTTTCAAGTTCCAACGAGATGAGATGAGGTACAGGCCAAAAGACATCAAAATCAACTTATTCCCAATATTAGGTGTTCTTTATGAGCGACAATTAAACCTTTCCACAAAAAGCATAATCATGGGGTATTTTTAGAAGTCATGTACACCTTTATCCTCCCCAATTACAGACTTCGACCGTATTTCACACGATTTCTCTCTATCATATGTGTCTTATAAATGAGCCAATTGTTTTTCGAATCTTGACGAGGTGCTCTTTGCCATCATAATTCAATGAATAAGTCCAACAATTTTAACGTTGTTGTTTGTTCGGCGAAAGCCCGACCAGGGCAACCTAACTTAGTAGAGAAGCCAAATAGATTAATATGAGTTTTATTCACCCTATTTCGTCTAAGGTGATAAATGACTGGTAGAAGAAGAATTTTCCCACAATGATATGAGTTGAGCTGACATTTCCATTAAATTTCACATAGC